TGCAATTATGCGACCACACATCCTATGTTTCACACCTCTGTTCCCTCTCCTGCACCCCAAGCATTTCACGACACAACCGCGAACTCGCATCACCGGACACACTGAGGAAGTACAGTTGTCCTCCTTACCAAACTACGATAATTAAGACACAGTTATTGAGCGTTCGTTTCACTGGCTCACACTCTAGAAGTGTTTTGTAGCCATTGTACTGTTCCATCTTTCTAATTGTACCTTACTATTTCCTCTTCTATTATTTATTGGATGGATTTGTTTCAACTGATCAAAGTTGAGTAACACCTTCTCGAATTTCGATTCACTTTTTGGTTTCGACTACGGGTGTTGAACATCAACTGAGGTGAGGTATTTCGACATGTCCAAATGACTGTGCTTGTATCGTGCCAAAATGGTTACCCAGGGTGTCCAATGTATTGCCTACAAACACTGGTCTTGTGATCCAAAGCGTTGTTCGCAACTTACTGAATCGCTGTTTAAGACTTTCGCTGAACACAAAGGTTTACTATGAATATGCATATATTGCATCGATGCCGCTGCTTTGGCAAAGAGACCTCCGCCACAAATACCTAGGAGATGTTCGTCCTTCGCTTCAGATAAACGTACCAGTAAGAGCAGCACAGTTTCTCCTAGCGACCATGCAAAGGATACGAATAGAAGGAATGAAAACCTAAATATCACTTCTCCGACCGATAGCTTAGACTCTGTAGCTGCAGTCGTGCCGTAGAACAATATTTCCTCGAAGGGGCGCCCAGAAAGCCCGACTAGTCAATCCACAAAACATCTGTTTCTGCTGCAGTCGTTGACGAAATAACCGCCGGTGACCGACCGTTAACCATAGTACGCAGGAAACCTTCCGCGGTGACTCCGAGCACCACCAAAAGGCCACCTGCATCTTCTGAAGATGTATTAATCCATCCACGCGTACGTTGTTTGCTGGCTTCTCACGCGCCGGAGTCTGGACATTCTGACCCACAAATCAGTTATGAGCACGACGTCGCATTTCTGCAGAGTATGATTGATAGGCTCTCGGATCCCGATGAGCAAGGTGTTCGTATAAGACGTGTATTGCGACTGGGGAAGTGGGTTCCAAACACCTCTCATGCTTTGCGAATTTTCTTTGAAAACGATCTCACTCCTGATTGTCCGCTATCCGGTCTGGGGCCTCTGAAATGTCTCAGAGTTCACGTGTGTCCAGACAACACTTTGGATGAAAGAAATTACCTTTGAACTGCCAGCATGGAACTAAAACGACGGGCCCAACAAGGTGAGATCAACTCGCACGTTGTACATTTTTGGGTGGTGCACAAGCGCCAACAGATAAACAATTTTGTACTACTGATGGCGAGTGGCCCAAGATAGTTTCCAGCTTCATTTTGGCGCTTACGAACGTTCGCAGTTTCATCAGTAATGTTGAAGAAATCCTTCTCTGGGTAGAACAACATTGTCAGGACATCCTTTGTCTTACTGAAACATGGATCCACGCTGATATTACCGGTCCCAAAATTCGCATCCATGGATACACAGCATTTCGGTGTGAAAGATCCAAAGGTGCTCATGGTGGTGAAGTGTTGTACCCAAACCGGCACACAATGAAGGCTTATTGCCACGCATCACAGTGCAGACGTTCTGTGCGAACAAGTTTAGTGCAGGGTAACGGGCCGAATGAACTGAATGTGGGAGCCATATATTGGAGCGCGGCAAACCCGTCTTGTGATTGGATCAACGTTACGCAGCAGCGTTTGAAATGCCCGATTTTTCTGTCGTTGGGCGACTTTAACGTTCCGCATGTTGACTGGCTACAGTATAGAACATTGCCTGACAGTAGCGTTCTCGAATCCAATTTTGTTGGTATAATGACGGAACTAAATGCTGTGCAACACATCCACGAACAAACAGGACAGCTTCCTGGGCAACTTGCAAGCTGTTTTGATCTTTCTTTCACAAACAGTGAGCAGCCACTATAATCCATTAGAGCATTTGTACCCATTGGGTCCAATGACCAGTCCACAATTTCAGCTGTCCTAAGTACGCCCTCTGTAGAATCCTCACAACTATCCTTTCGTAACATCTGAAAGACTAACTGAGAGCGCATACAGAGCACTGCGAAACACATGGATTGGTCTCCACCCTGGAATGGTGGTATAAAAGCGTGTTTGGAGTTGAAATGTGTATTTTAATTATTAGATAATTTCGCCTCTATAACACCAGTTATACCTTCGAGAAGGCCGCCCTGGAGTGATAAGGGAAATACTGAGCTGTCGAGACGATGCGGAAAGTTGTGAAAACCATTCAGGCAAACACATTGCGCCGGAGACTATATTGCTTAGAAAACACAGCAAAGCCACTGCAACTCCGCGAAACTACAAAAGCGTGAAACTTACGAAGCTGGTCTCTCAGCAACTGCGAAAGAAGCGCCCAAGAAGATTTCGCATACATCAAAAGCAGGCTTAAACCAACTGATGGATTACCTGCTTTTGAAAGTTCACTGGATGTACTGTTGAGCTCCGAGGCGGACCGAGCTATGGTACTTGAGTCAGCGTTTACGTCAGTGTTCCATACGGACGTTCCCGCATTCGTATGTAACCAAAACGACGCTAAGCTGAGTACCATGTCGTGTTACGAAGATGAAGTCAAAAGCTTGTTAGTGGTCTAGATTGCTTCAAACCACCGAGACCGGATGGATTACTTCCACTGCTTCTAAAGAGAATGGCACATATTGCTGCACCGACGGTGGCGAAATTCTTTAATGTCTCTTTGGCATAAGGAAGCGTTCTACGAGATTGATAGAGGGCAGACGTACGACTGTTGCCTAAAGGTGGAAACAAAAACAAGAGAGAAAACTATAGACTAAGTGGCTTAAGAGCAGTAATAGCCAAAGTGCTGGAGAAAGTTGTCAAGCGAACACTCATTGCTTTTACTGAATCACATAATGTGCTCATAGCTTTTCAGCATGGTTTCCTGTGAGGACGGTCCTGTAGAACTAAGCTCCATACAACCCGGCAGAGTTGGATGTAGACAGCCAACAAAGGAAACAGCGCTGATGCCTTGCTGTTGGAGTTTAGTAAAGTATTCGACTGAGTGAAACGTAGTATCTTATTACCTAAACTTAACGGTTACCGAGTGGGCGGAAACTTGTTGAAATGGATACACTCTTTTCTGTGCCAGCGACAGTGGTGCGTCCAGGTCAACAACTGCCGAGCACCATGGGGTATTGCTTTTAGTGAGGTGCCACAGGGTACACTACTTAGCCTAGTGCTGTTCTTGTTTCACATAAAGGATTTACAACCACACCTGAAATCTACATTTGCGCTATTCGCCGATGACTTAAAGCTCTAGGAGGGATCTTTCGACATCAGTCGACGAGGATTTACTCCAAACTGATCTCAATCACTATCCTCATGGACATCAACTAACTACATCTCGTTAAACTCCGAGACGTCCTAATTATTCCTCATCAGCAACTGCTGTCGGGACAGGATTTGCGCTATGGGTGGACGACGGCCGCGTCCTGCTGAGACAGTGAGAGACCTTGAAGTATTATCCCGACGGGATTTCCAATCGGCGGGAAATACACACAATGCTTTGGTCACTGAACCGAACGTTCCGCGTTTGGTCGGAGCAAACTGTTGTCATACTATACGCCGCCATGGTATGCACCTTATTGGAATACGGCGCACTGGCCCACTATCCCAGCACAAAGGGTGGGTTGAAAAAGATTGGAGAAGGTGCAGCACATAGCCACGCGTCTAATCCCTACGCTCCGTGGTTTATGCTATCAGCAGCGGTGTCAGAAATTGCAGCTTCACACACGCTAGTATACAGAAGGCTAAGAATTGACCTAATTACAAACTTCAAAACACTCTATTTGGGACACTTCACAGCTGAGGTATATGTTTTTCTTTACCGACACAACCGTCATTTGAGAGCATGTTTAATAACTGGAAGTCCCGCATATGGACAATGTATCTCACACACATTGTTTTGCTCGACCAGTCGTACATACCTGGAACAAGTTCTGTTGTTCTCTCGGATTCCATACAGTTTTTCAAGTGAAACCTAGACAAATATTTCGCAGATCTGTGCTTCGATCTGGATATTATATTTGACCTCCTTTCGTCGCGTGGGTATGTACCGGCTGCACTAGCGGCTGTAAAGGACTGAGACAAACAAGGTGCTGTTTTGTGGTTTTATATCTGTATTTTAAGTGCTACTATGCAACCATACTCATGAGTTTACGCAGACCGCGATTCCGCATTTGCGGTAATTTTGTTTGTACCATACTTATGGTGGACATGATAAAAATTGTAATCTTTTTCTTCTAATACACTGATTCTGATTCACTGCTTTTGATTCTTATCGTTGGTCTGCTAGCCTCGTTCATTGTGCATCAGATCTTTTGCTTTGAATTATCGTACAGAGTAAAGTTTCGTCATCCAGACCGGAATGTGAGACTAAATGACGAATTGCTGCGGACCTTTCTTTACCAAAGGTCAGGCCAAACATTTTTACTTTACAGAATGGGAGTCCTTTTATGTAATTAAACACTTTTAGTTTGGTCTTTCCATTGCAATGTGACTAGGGGCCGACCTCATTATCGTTCGTGTTGGGAGTTTCTTTGTCCCTTCTTCTACCGATTAGTCCCCTCCCAACCCCGATTGCAATTATTAGGCATAATGTTGCTCCATTTTGATGACACAATAGCTGAGTGTTAGTTTGTTGTGACCTAAATGTTCTGCGTATGACTGCAAAGTAGTCTAAGGTATTAGAAAAGTATAGTTGTATTATGTATTATGGAATTAGTGGGTTTGCTTGTAGGTAGTTTTTCCCGCTTGTTTGTGCCACACGATATCCGTCTTTGGAGCGCGCGACTCTACTTTAAACGACGCCCCATCTACGCACTTGACGTTTAACTAAATCTTTGCTTGCTAGTTCTCTTCTGGTGCCCTACTTTTAGGCTTAGCTAACTCTTCTCCCATTCAGTAAACCTTTTCTCCAGGTTATTTTCATGTGTTTATTCGTACGCTTACTGTTAGTCGTTTAGTCTCGTACCGGATATATAGCGCACAATCAAAGCGCCATAACTAGTGACACCGAAAAGCTTTTTGGTGAGCTTTTTACTAATATTTTCTGTCAAATGCGGTAACTTATTCTGTCCACCCTTCTTCTTTTGGTTTTTGTTATTTTGGGTTACTTTCACTGGCTCCATACTTTTCCCCATGAAGGTCATTCACCAAGATTCGGTTGAGCAGGTTAATGGGTTCAGTCCTCCTAACCCACGTTTCCAAAACAGTTATCCAAATTTTCGGTTTACTCAGCCAGTATCCATTTTTTCGGTACGCGGCGTTAAGCCTGCTAGTGTCAAATTTCGCATTGTTGTCGTAGATCTTTTTCCGCAAGTCCTCGATGACCTCGAAAATATCTTAAAACTACCTGAATATCAAAAGACTTACGACGAGTTTAAGGCCGTCATCTTAAAGCGATTCGGCATATCAGACCATGTTTGCTTTACATAGCTTCTTAACGAAACCAAGCTAGGTGATCGAAAGCCTTCTCAGCTCCTGCACAGGACGCAGACTACAGCTAATCAAATCTGTTGGCGACTTTTCTTTAAAGAGATGTCACTTCGTAGGCTGTCACGTGACCTACATAACACAATGTATGCAAATGATGTGCCTCTTTCCCAACTTGTCAACATCGCCTACCGTATTTCGGAATCCAACGCCCAAATTTTGCAGGTTCAGTATACCTCCAGTATGGAGGCAACAGAACTAAGAGCGCAAGTATCGGCACTTACCAATCAACTAAAAAACCTCATACAGTCCGGATTAAACTGCCGAAATCATTCCAGTAGTCGCACTCCTCCGAGATCACGTTTGAAATCCCCTAGGTCAAGCTATCATTGGCACCAGGAGCGGTCTGGTCATCGGACCAGCCCTATTCCTTCAAGCATAGCACGCAAGGTCAAGGGCCGGTCAGTACGTATGGGCGACGGACATTGCTGGTTGCCGAAGTCGCATTTCCTTTATCACCGATCGCAGTACGGGAGTAAGCTATCTCGTTGAAACCGGCGCAGATGTTAGCCTTATCTCACCTGATTCCAATGATATTATTAAAGAGGCGACTAGTCCATTGCACGCAGCAAACAGCACCACCATTCGCATGTATTACCAACGCTCACGCACGCATAATTTAAACCTACGTTTTTTAAAATGGATCTTTCTCGTCGCAGATGTCTAGACGCCAATTGTTGGCCTTGACTTTCTGTAGCACCTCGAATTGTTCGGTGATACAAAGCAACGCCATCTGACCGATCGTCAAACAAATCTGGCGGTTATAGGTACTTTGACCGACATTGAGTTAATCAGCGTTGTATACGCTAACCAAATGAGCTCACCTATCGGTCAGATGCTTATTACCAAGTTCCCGCAAGTCTTCAGTGTAATGGCACCGTTACCATCCGCCGCTGATGCTGCGAAACATCATATCGTTACCAAAGGTCCGATTGTTTTCGCCAAAGACAGGTGAATGACCACTGCCAAGATAAAAATTACTCGCGCGGAATTCGAGCACATGCTTGAAGTAGGCATCGTTCGCCCGGCTAAAACCCCTTTGGCCTCGACGCTCCACATGTTGCCCAAAAGTTAAGAGACTGGCATCCATGTGGTGACTATCACGCGCTCAATAACCTTACTGTCCTCGAGCACTATATTATTCCTCACATGCAGGACATCACAACTAACTTGCGCGGCAGCCGTATGTTCTCAAAAATCGATCTGGTTCGCACTTATCACCAGATTCCAAACGCTGAGGACGCTATACCTAAGCCTACTGTACTCAAGCCATTTGGACTCTTTGAAATTTGCTCTTCGGCTTTTGCGACGCAGCCCAGAGTTTTCAACGATGTATTGCTTCAGTCACTGGCGGCCTAGATTTCGTCGATACATACCTCGATGATATCCCGGTCGCTAGCTCTTCTAAAGAACAACACGCAGCACATCTTATGATTCTTTCCGAAAGTATGGTCGCTAGTAGCATCACTGTCAACGCTGACAACTGCATATTTCAGCAACCTTCCGTTGAACTTCTCGGCAACATATTAATTAGTATGCCACACGGCCTCTAGACGATAGAGTCCGCGCTAGCAAGGATTTTTCGACCCGACTACGTTTGTCGATATTCGCCGTTTTAACTGCGTTATCCACTATTATCCATGTTTTCTTCCACAAGATGTCAATTCGCTAAGTCCACTAACAGACCTACTTTGTGGACGTAAAATCGGTCAGATGGAACTGACGGCTGCTGCTATCAAAGCGGACATGGCTAGCAACTAGGCCTTAGCCAAAGCCGTAACGCATCATAATTTTGATCCGAACGCTACGCTCAATGTTGCTGTTGATGCATCAAACACCGTCATTGGTGTCATTCTACAGCAACAGATAAATGCATGCCTAAAACTTCTTGCTTTTTACTCTAAGAGCCTACAATCTGCCGAACTAAAGTACAATTTGTTCAGTTACAAACGTCTGGCCGTTTGTTCTGCCATTCGATATTTCCAACGCGTCCTTGAAGCTAACACCCTCATTGTCCTCACCGATCACAAGCAACTTTTTCACGCATGCCGAAATCAATCAGCTGAGCACTTATCACGTAAGATTAGTCAGCTGGACTTCATTGCCCGATGTTCGACTGATATCCGACACATTTCTAGTAAACAAAACGTAGCCGTTGATGCTCTTATAAGCGTATATGCGATCGGCCCTGCAGAGCAGCCAATCGATTTGTCTGCTATGGCAGCCGCGCAATCAAAGGACCAGAGTTTTCGGAACCCTTTGCTTGTTCTTTGAAGATATCCCCACAAGGTTTGCCGTCATCTGATGGTACAATTTTTTGCGATCCGTCTACCGGTCGACCTCGACTCGTCGCTCCAGAAACATTTTGCCGTATCTTTTTCGACACCCTCCACAATATCGCCTACCCAGGTATTAAAGCTAATGCTAAGCTTGTCTCCGAGAGATACGTTTGACCAAGGATGCAATGCGATCTTACGCAGTTGACACACAGCTATCACACCTGTCAGAAAACCAAGATCCAGCGGCACGTGTCCACTCCAGTTGGTTGCCTTTTTCTCGTTTCATCGCGACTTGCCCATGTTCACCTCCATATAGTGGAACCTTTGGCCCGGTCCAAAACAATGGTCTACATTTTGATCACAATCGATTGTTCCACCATGTGGTCCGAAGCTGTTATCATCCCTAATGTAGCTGCGGAAACCGTAACGCGTGCTATCGTCGAGCGCTGGGTTGCTTCACATGGCTGTCCATCTACAATGACGATCGACTGCGATCGGCAATTCAAATCATCGATCTTTAACGGTCTTCTTAAACTCATTGAATGTCAACGCATCCGCACGACCGCCTACCATTCGCAGGCGAATGACATGATGGAACGTTTCCATCGACAGCAGGAAGCCTCACTTAGCGCCGCCAATGTGCTGAGTTGGACTGAAGTGCCGCTATGATCCTCCTTGCGATCCGATCAGCTTTAAAGGCTGATCTACGTAGGTCTAGAGCCGCTTTAGTATATAAACAACCACAACCTTTAGCTGGCGATTGTTTCTCCGATAGTCCCAGAATTCCCTGTTATGATGTAAAATATGCTCGTCAGCTAGCCAGGATTATGCACCGCTACAAGCTTTCCGAAGTTAGAGAAAAACGACGTAAATCGTTTGTTCTACAAGACCTGCAGACTTTCGTTCGTTTTTCTTTGCCTCGACGATCTCCGCAGACCACTGGAGTGACCTTGCAAAGGTCATTTCAAGGTTCCGCAGCATATGGACCGCGTCTTTATTACTGGCCGTCACGGTAAACTAGAAGACGATACGATGGACCGTCTCAGGGTTGCCCACGTGGAAGCTGAGCTCATGGAATACCCTTGCTCGTCTTTTGACGAAGCAACCCAGCCTATGATGGAAGACTCACTGTTTCTAACAACTTTGAACTCAAACACCACGCTCCACCAAGGTCTTTCATTTCAACTCCGCCGCTTCTCATCGAACCACATCACTTCTTCTGCCATTCCTCCAACTTTTCGATCCGATAAAACGTCTAAGACGACGACTTCCTCTGATGCGTACAAAACGACCAGGTCGGGTAAGCGCGTTTTTTGGTTAGCCCGATTAAAGAATTAGTTTCCCGCCTCATTTTTCCTACTTATTTTCACTTTTAACCAACAGCGTACAAAAAACCCAAACAAACGACAAAAGCTTCTGAAAACGCTAAAATATCGACAAAAGTTATTAAAAACTTAAAAAGGACACGAAAACATTTTGAAAGCCTGAAAAAAGTTTGAATAACACAAAAGGAGTTGCGTTTTACTTGACGCCTAACTCATCTGTTAAGTGTTATTGTAGCGTTTGCTCTTGCCACCACTGTCACTATCTTTCTTCCGTTTCATGTACGAACCGGGCAAATTGAATCGGAGGCGAACATTTGACATATACCAACTTGTGAACATTGACGCTTAAAATCTTCCCCCATTTTGTTTTGGCACATTTAGGGAGGACACAGGTGGAGCCAGCTATGGTCCGAAAGCCTGGTTTTCACCCAACTTCTGCATCAGGTATCACTTCCTGGTCTTGCAGAACGCTGGTCTGCGACTGACAGTTCACAAGTAGATCAAAGGGTCACCCACGGTTTTTCTTCCGGGTGAAAGGCTGTGTATTGACCTGGATGTTCCCCGTAGCACTGTAAATCCTCATACACTAAAATTATAGTTTCCCTATGTATTAGGGAATTAGGAGGTTTGCTTGTAAGAAGTTTGTTCTCGTTTGTTTGAATGCCCTGATGTCCGTCCTTGGTACGCGCAACTCGACTGACAACGACGACCAGTACTGGTCGTCCATGCACTCGACGCACAACGATATCTGCTCGCTAATTCTCTTCTGATGCCATAATTATAGCCTTAGCTAACTTTTCGCCCGTTCAATAGACCTATCCCCAGTTTATTTTTGTGTGTTTATTTGTACACTTACTGTTAGTCGTTTAGTCTCGTACCGGATATACAGTATACGATCGACACGCTATCAGTTCTCCGGAAGGATGCACATCCATTACTCTTGACTCAGCCAGCATACAACTGTTGTACTTTTTCAGATTTTGCATTATTGCAAGAAAATGAAGTGCTTTTTATCTCTAGCTAACACCTATAATAAAGATGATGAGAACTGCACTGCGCCAAAGAATAGCACTTGGATGAAATGATAATTTGCAAAGTGGCGTCCACTACAGACTTGCATATTAATAGACGTTAAGGAGGTAAACGATATATTCCTTATACAGACAGCTTTTCTACCTAAAATGGTTTAATATGTATGCAAAATATTTAAAAGGTTACATATCCCTGATCCTGTACGAAATGGTAGGAATGTACTTTTAAATTGTGACGCGCAGTGCTATATAAACACGCAGTGTACAGTTACGATAACATTTCTCAAATAACGTACTACAAGTTGTCAATCTTTATGGTTTAAACTTAAGATGACTCAATCTGTTGACACTGTGCCAGTGTCAGCAGCAGCAGAGGAAATAATTTTCACGTGGTCCTTTGTAGCACATGTGCTAATTATCCGATTTAGTTATAAAGCTTGCTTTAATTTAGGTACTTAAGTTTGAAGGCGAACGATTGCTTTCTATCCTTACCGCATTTCTTTCACGCATTTTGAATTCGTCCGTACTCTGTTCACATGGCTTTGAATAATATAACAAGCAGAAGTGTCTCTTCACCATATTGAATATATTGAAATTTATTCTTTAGCAACAATAAGAAATTGTTTTACACATACATGCTGTATCAATCTTTTTTGGCAGTATTTGGTTATTTTGATGCTTGTCAGATAATCATCAAGACTTGCTTGCCAAGACAACTAGCTTCATGTTTACTTGAATAAACAAAGCAATGACAACTGACGTACATTGGATAAATATTCCTCTCTAACTAGGCGAAACTTAGGTGTTCCATTGCATGCTCATGAAAGTTCAAATGAATGAGCGCTATAAATACACTCTGCCCATGTCTTTAATCCCAGAACAGGAATGAGCAGCTTCCAACTTATACACCTTTTAGGATTGTCCACTAACAAATTGTAATATACTTGCCCTTTCAATATAACACTGCAAGGGTCGCGAACATGCACAATGCGCACCAGAATAATTACCGGCATTTCGTTGTTTCATTCATTATTCTCATCATTATACACGCCAGCTAGAGGTGGGAAACACAGCTATTGTACCGCAGTACATAAAGGAGAAGGAATATAAATACAACAATTGCATGCCGGCAGAGCTACCAGCAACGGATAGGCATCGCTCCGGTAAGCTACCAGACGGCTACTAAGCAAAAAGAAAAATTATTATGTTCTACGCTACGAAATGAGATCGTAGATGGAGGAGGAGGCTAAAAGAGATAGGGAGGGATAAAGATTCTCACAGCAGGAACGCCACCGAAGTAGGCTCCTTGCCATGTCAGCAAGTGTACCCAGTCAAACGTGTTCATCGTCTTTGGACCCCAGCCAGGGAGCCGTGACGCTCCAACCGAGGCCAGCTTCGATGTGAGGGCCTTCATTCCTTTTGACCAAGCTATCGCTTGGCCACTCCTGCTCTGCTACCATCCACATCCCCGGCGAGTAAACAACGCACGTCGTGGAAGTCGGTGGGCTGGCATGCGCAGCGCGTGGCCCAGTCATCGGAGCCTGCTGCGTGAAATGACGGTGCTGAGCGGTTCAGTAGCTTCTTCTGTACCGTGGACAAGGCATCGAACACGCTCGTTGCTCACGGGGTGTTTCCACCAAATGTGAGCCAAATTGCAAAAGGCACCGCTAGTCTGACATAACTAGCCTCTTTATGTCCGCCGATCTTAGGGGCCAGACTTCGCAACCGTACGGTATGGTCGAAAGTACCGCTGCATTGTACAGTCTACCCTTAAGGGCAGGAGTATTGTCGCGCCGCCGCCATAGGTGGCGAAGGTTAGCAAAAGCACTTTGATTTTTTGCCATACGGTTCGTGAGCTCGTCCTAAATAAATAACTTCTTTATTCTCGTGCAGTGCGCATCATGCCTATGTAGGTCCGATCACGTTAAAGATATAACAAAACGTACAACAAAATGAAGGCATAAAATATGGTGCCAGTTAGCCATGAACTTTGGAGCTGGGAGTTCATACATGTATGTAGATGTGCATGTGTCTCTCTGTTATTTCAGTTTGAATAAGTGTCAATGCAATCGTGATTGATCGCTTGGATAGTATGGGAAGGGTTGAGAGACCTCCGTGGTGGGGTGTGGTTGGTTGGTTGGGTAAACATGGGGCCGTGACTTTAGTTAGAGGCGAGTCCCATCCACCTCGTCGCAGTGCTGTTAAACAGACAACAGTGGCCTTTTATAGGGAGAACGCTCGCCAGACGAAAACCATTCACGTCCTGGAGCACTCTCGCTAAACAGTTGCTGGAATAGGGTAGACCCGAACCATCCATTTGGTGTCACGGGGAGGTCACGTTTTCGTTGTCGGTGGAGCAGCCAGCGATTGCTGACAAGCCATAAGCGAGCGATTGGACTCTTGCCAAGCGGGACCAATGGTTAGGTAGTTGTAGAGTGATTCAGGTATGTTGTGGTAAGCATTTGTTTTGAAGGCTTTTTCGTAGGTAGACCTTGGAGGACCCAATCCTCTGGATAAAGACATCCAGAGCAAATTGGCCAGTGACATAGACCAGCATGGGTGTGAGTGTGTTGGAGATCTGATTTGACCCACTTTTGTCTTTGTAGGTTTATTCGCTCGCAGCCAAGCAGGCCAGCTGGGATCCTTGGTAAGTTTCTGTTGATAACTTCAGACCTCAGGGAAGAGAAGAGAAAAGTAAAGAAAAGGTGAGCAGCAGAGACTACCAAGGAAACATGTGACAACATGTGGTGTGAATGCAGAATTCATATATGTTACAACATGGTAAAAGTAATTCATGAAGAGCAAAGACAATATTTGGTACTTTGTTTTCTGCGACCACCTACAATATCTATGCGGGCGATGGTTGCTTAATAACCAGAAGCAGGAATGAGAGGATGAATGAGGACAAGGAGAAGACAGTGGCAAGCGAAAGAAAGACAAAGAAGGGAGAAACTAAATAGGAAAGCCTGGAAATGGGACGAATGTATGGGTACTAGTTGTCCTGAAATTACCTTTCAAGGTGGTCTATGTCTATGGCAAAGCGATATTTACGACCAACAAGTAACCATACCAAATTGGGTTTAATAAAAAGATGCAAACAGAATTTTGAAACTCAAACTCAGTAACTGCATTCTAGGAAGGAGCAACAGACAGTAAAAAGAGAAAGCAGAGGTGTCTTGTGGCTAGGGACAGGGCCACGCTCAGCGCCCAATGGTTTCAGAGCAATAACAAGGTAAGGACAACAGGTCACACTGCGTTAATCCAAGGCCTGGATACAGTTAGAAAAAACAAAAAGGTTCTACAAGAAAATCTGCTGCAGACCAAGCTTTAAGTCTCAATGTAAAAAGCGAGGTAAGGAAACAGCAGAGTCCCGTGAGGCAAGGCGAGACGAGCGCATAGGGCAGACAGCAAGCAAGCCAGGTGAAGTCAGGGTGGGATAAGCCTATCGTCGCATTAACATGGCCTTAGGGTAAAAAGTCAGGAGGAAAAGCAAGCAGAGCGGGGGAAGATGAAAGGAGCAGCGGAAGGGCCAAAGATGAGTCAGTGTACCTCAGCCGCCTAGCAGATATAAGAAAACAAGCAAGGCTGCTCTGATGGGACTGGATTAGACAGAAAACAAAGGCTATGCGGCCCAGCAGACATGGGGATGACCTAAGAGGACGCAAGCAAATTTACAGGACACAAAATCTGAGACAGAGTTTAGGGAAAGCCACATACGGAGGTCAAGGAGACGAAAGGTGAGATGAATCAGCCAGTACTGAACTAATCCCAGGAGGCATGCATAGAATTATAAGGCCAGTGTGAGGCGGGATCAAGTACAGAGTAATCATGCAAGTTAGCATAGGTTCACGATGATTAGGCTTGGGAGGGTAATGTGACATAACCGTGCCCTGGTTAAGTTTAGTATAAATACCACGGGTGAATCTGTTGTAAACCAGGCGTTTAAGCCTCAGTGGGTTAAGCGAGGTAATGAAACAGCAAAGATAGGTGAGGCGGTGCGCGACGAATGCCTCTGGCCGACAGCAAGCAAACCAGCTGAGGTGAGAGTTGGATACGTGGCTCAAACAAATAAGCGTATCCTCGCGTTGTACTGAATTCAGAGAAAAAAGTTGAGGAAGAGCAACAATCAAGTAAAGGAAAATGAAAAGCAGTGGAAGTGCCAAACATGAGCCGGTATACCTCAGTCACCTAGTAGCTGCCAGTATTAATCTGGGCGTCCAAATCTGGATTTATTACCTCCATGGCGCAAGTAACTGAGCCAGCAGAATGGAACACCAAAATTAAAAGTGTAGAAAATTAGAAATGTAAACGAAAAACGTAGACGAATCTGAAAATAAAAGTTAGTAAACGTCTCACCAATTGTAAGGGCATCACCGATTATAAGTCAGGGTCACCAGTTATAGCGCGTTGGTTTAACGCTGTATCCGATACAGAATTGAATGGCCACACAAAGGGGTGCGGCAGAACACACGAAAATAGGCTAAATGTTTAGTAGAAAGGTTGCTAAATCTTAAGACTAAAAATAAGACGTCGGAAGCTGCGTAGCTAGGGAGTAGGTGGTGGGGTGATGAGTGCGATAGGAGAACCGACGTTCGTTTTCGAATTTCGCGGACAAAATCCGGATGTTGTCGGTCCCAAGGGCGCTAATACAACTTCGCAGGTAGTTGAATTTCTGAGCGACTTCCAGCTGATCTCCACCAAGGGTCAGCGCAGCAGGCGGTCCTTGCCAACCTTGGAGGAAGGCTTTGCATTTCGATGTTGCAAAGCAAAGCCCGAAACGACTGACAACCAGTGCTAATCCGTCCAGTGCGTCTTGGCGCGTCTGGGAGCTGGCACAGATGAGGGCAATTCCGTCTGCAAACTCCAAGTCAAGGAGTCGTTCTACTGGGAGTAGCTCCACACCTTCCAAGTCATGTCCTGTAAATGCAATCTCCATGACTTCGTCAGTAGCGAAGTTGAAGAGGAAAGGCACAACCGGCAAGCTTGTCTCACACCGCTGGAGAAATTGATGAGTGGCGACAGCTTGCCGTAAGCCCTCAATCTGCCCGTGCTACGCGCGTTTAATGCTCGGATAATATTTACAAATTTCTCAAGTACACATTTCCTGAGTAGACGATTCCAAAGATCACATCGATAAACCGAATCGGAGGCACCTTTGATGTAGATGAACAAGACTACTGCTTGCCGCCAATATGTGTGACATTGCTTCAACAACCAACGCAAGGTGAAGACGTGGTCGATGCAGCCACGACTTCGACGAAACCCGGCTTGCTCTGTACGAATCTGGCTTTCACGAGCGCCATTTAATCTGTGAAGGATTGTGGGGATGATTACTTTCGAGGCATGGAGTTCAGACTGATTTCTGTATGGTTGCCGCATTCCGAACGCGAGCCTCCTTTGAAGATGAGAACAACAACGAAGAGGCTCCAGTCGGTTAAGACACTCTCCTGCTCCCACAGTCGCAGCACTAATTGATGTAAAGCATCAACGATAGCAGGTCCACCGAATTTGAAGAGGGCTGGAAGTAGCTCATCTGGCCCGGCGGCTTTGTTCAACTTCAACAGTAGGCTGGCTAGCCG